GAATCAACTTCAAGTGCGATTTCACTGATTTAACTCCCGCCTCCCAGATCCCACCGAAATGTGGGCTACGTGGAAGAATGAACGACCATTCGATGTCCCTTGGTACACAGTATTCATTCACAGCACGCGTGTGCTGCTCACTGCGGAATAATTCGGCTAGGCGATTCATTTCATTTTTAGCGCCTTCGAAATTAGTCGCGTTATCGGAGTATAATTTCTGTACGAGGCCACGACGACTAACAAAGCGCTGGAGCGCAGCCATGAAGGATTCCGAACTTAGGTCCTAAACCGCTTCAAGATGGAGAGCCCGAGTTGCCATGCAAACAAATAAACAAACGTAACCCTTAGTGGTCGTCGGGTTCCTTGCAGTTGCACTTAATCGAAGGTTGAATGGGGCCCGCAAAATCCAATCCCGTGTGTGAGAACACTGGAGAAGGCTGGACGCGGTAATCCGGAAGCTCTCCCATCAGTTGAGTTGATTTCTTTGGCCTCATCCGAAAGCATGGTATGCAGTGGTGTACCACCTGCCGGATGACGTTCTTCGCCTTGAGTGGTCAATACCAGTGATGGAAAAGTTCATCAAAGTTCCCTATGACTCGCGAACTTTTCCCTTGGTGAACTTCGTGAAATATCGTGAACTTTTCCAACACTGGTCAATACTGTTGCCGGACGACCCCAAGAAGACTGCACTGACCGAGATGCATATTGGCGCGATGTAGATGACGTATCAGCGTGACGGTGAGCGGATGTTTCTCGGGAAATAGTGCTGGATGTCGGTGTTCGTACGGTACAATCAACAATCAATACGAAACTAACGATTTTAAATTGGCTCACTACTTGACTAGCCTATTGGTCCCAAGAAAACGATTAACGTATCCCATTCTAGTCGAAATTCTAGTACTACGCAATGTTTATTTTGATTCGCTATGAAAGTTTGACAGGTAAAATGAGGGGTTATTGGTTTTTCCTATGTTTCGAGGGGTGAATCGATTAGCTTGGGACCGAAGATAGTACAAGAGCTGAGCCAAAAAGTTGAGCACATTTCTTCGGGACCTTCTGGTCTTAGAGTTACCTCTATGGTACAATTGCGTTCCTTAAGCGTCATCCAACACGCAGTACTCCGTCGTTCGCATCGATGAATGGATTCAAATTTTGAAACGTAATTCTGCATTCTTTATTACCTTTAATCGCTTGTAGCTCCTCTTGAAAAGCTTCGATTTGAACCATTCGGATGATCAAAACTGCTGCTCGATGCATTTCCGAAACTGTGGGCAATCCTCTAGTAATCTGCTTTCGACCGAATCACATATGCCATCGACCGTTGAATTATAGTATACCGACTGATTCTGTCGAATGTCGGTAGCCTGGACGGCCCGCGTGTCGTTACAAGTACTGTTCTCCGAAGTTCTGGTATTTCATCTTGCGATAGCGGTAGTGGTTGCTCGAGATACAGTTGTGCGCTATGGACCCTAGGCGGTCCATGCCACCAAAGCTTGCATCCTGGAAGATCCGATGGCGACACGCCACGAGATATCAGATCAGCAGGATTTTCCTTCGAAGGTATGTACTGCCAAATAAAACCTTCAGTCAGCTGCTGGATTTGCCTGACTCGGTTTCCAACAAATACAGTCAGTGAGTCCGAAGATTTCTGTAGCCAACAAAGGACTATCTGTGAATCCGACCATAATGCGACAGAACTGAAAACAGCTTCACAGTGACTTGAGACAGCAACAGGGCTGCTAGTAGTTCTGCTTTGGGCGTTGTAATTTCTTTCTGTTTGTTCTTCTTTCTTGGGAGAATCCGTGACTTGCTGCACACTATATTCATCATCACTGTTCCATCGTTTCGTACCGTGCGAGCATACAGACTGGCGCCGTATGCCAAGTCTGATGCATCCGCAAACCCGCAAAGTTCGTAACTACAGGCTTCGTCGCAATGAATCCATCTTGCAATCTTCACGTTGTTCAAGCTGGATAGTTGTTCACGATAGTCCGTCCACAACTTCGCAAATGCATGCGGAACCGGTTGGTCCCACTCCATGTTTAAAGCCTCAACGGGTCGAAGATTTTAGCGATCTGACTGAGAATGTGTCTGACTCAGGGTAGACCGCAAAACAAAATGTGAAACTGTCTTCTTTAGGGTTCCAGGAAATACCCGTTATGTCCACACAGCTCTCTAGCTGCTCCTCGGAAACAGTAGCCAGCAGTATCTCTGAATTCGAACCGAATGTATGCACTTCGAAGCCTCCTCGCCCTAGCAAGCCGATAATTTGATTCTTGAGTTCCATCGCCTCCGCCAACATATTGGCACCTGTAAGTACGTCGTCAATGTAGAAGGATTTTCTGACCGCCTTGGCAGCGATCGGGTACTCTTCCCTCTCGTCTTCAGCGAGCTGGCGAAGCGCCATTGTTGCCAAGAACGGTGATGAAGCAAGTCCGTACGTAATGGTTCGTAGATTGTAGACACGAATCGTCTCGCTTGGATCTTCGCGCCAGAACATACTTTGGTAACGGATGTCGTCGTCGTGCATTCTCACCTGCCGATACATTCTCGAGGCGTCTGCAGTGAAGACGAATTTGTACGAACGAAAGTCCAGCAAAATCGAAATTATATCATTCTGCACCGTTGGACCCACCATTTGGGTCTGGTTGATGCTAATTCCAGTGTCGGTCGGTGCTGAACCATCGAACACTACGCGAAGTCGAGTGGTTGTACTGTTTGGTTTCAAAACGTAATGATGAGGCAAATAGTACACAGATTGAGGATCGACGGTGTCACCAGCTTCGTCCACTGACATGCATCTCGTATTCTCTCAGGAAGGAAATGTACTGCGCCTTTACATCCGGTTTGCTGTCCAATCGCTTCTCCAGAGCGAGGAATCGTTTTTCTGCCATGGTCCTGGAATCGCCCAACTGGTCTTTCAACTCGTTGAATGGTAGTCGGACGACGTACCTTCCATCGTCGGTACGCTTGTGTGTGTCCATACAAAGTTCGTCAGATGCCGTGGTCTTCTCATCCATGTCACCACACGATTCAATCTGCCAGAATCTTCGCACTATTTCGTTGAGATTTTCTTCAGCAGTAACGAAGAACGATTGCAGTTTCTCTGGAACCTTGCTTGGGATCGGACCGCTCAACACCCAGCCGAATTGGGTATCTTGAAGAACTGCAATAGTGTGAGGAATCTTCATGCGATCTGTCTTCAACATTTCGAAAAATACTTCTGCTCCCAGCAGCATGTCCACTCGATCAGGGATACTGAAATTCGGGTATCATACCGATCAGACAGGCTCGCCTTCTTGAAGCTTTCACATTTCCACAGTTCGTGACTCGCAGAACAATGCGGACATGCATCGGCTGTGATGACTAAGGAACTTGCACGTACACGTAATTGTAGAATTCCACGGATATTCTGCGGAGAATGCCAATTCAAGGTAAATTTTGGGGATGATTTAAAGGGATTTGAATTCTGATGATAATTCCAAAGAATTCTAAGGAAAATTCCTAGAAAATTCTGAGCAGGTGGAATTCCTAATATTTGTGAGGAATATTTCAAGAAATTTTTGGAAGAATTCCAAGGAAATTTTGCGGACCATGCCAATTCAAGATACATTTTGGGGCTGATTTTTACGGTAATCTTATAATATTTCCAATACCATTTAAAAGAGAGTTCCAAGTGAAATTTTAGGAATTTTGGGAGCATTAAGGAACTTTGGAACGGTATTTTTAAGAGAATGCAAAAGCAATCCTGAGGACAGTTCCAAGGATAATCCAAGCAGAATGTCAAAGGAATCGATTTTTAAGGATAATTAAAACTCAGAGAAAAATTATAATAGAATTCTGAGGATAAGTTCAACAGATTCTCTCTGAGGTATGTTACAAGAAATTTTCCAAGCAAATACTGAGCAGAATTCTATACTAATTTTCAAGAGAATACTGAGGATATTTCCAAAGAAAGTCTGGGGGATTTCTGATAAGATTTCTTAGGGGATTTCAACATGAATCCTGAGAGTATAGTTTTGGGGAGAATTCCAATGGAAATTTTACGAAGAGTCTTAAGGGAATTCCGAGAAAAAATCCAAGCGAATTGCGAAATCAATCCCTAGAGAATTTCAAAAGAAATCTGTGGTCAGATCCGAGGGAACTCCGCAAGACGAAGCCATTTGTAAACCTACGTGCAAAGTAATAATTGAGCGCATCATCATGTTTTGCACAACTCTTGGGCCCGTTAATCAACCAGCAAAAATAAATAAATCGACAGAGTTGGGATATAACTTTCGATTCCAAAAATTAGTTGGATTTAAGAACCACACTAGTGGTTCTGTCTGGTCGTGATCAGCAGCAGCAGTGCTTTCGGTGCTTGGCTTTGTACACAACGGTACACAACGAAAGGTTCCCCGCAAACAGCTAGATATCAAGGTTGACCTCAAAAGCCCTCGATTCACCGAAGAAGGAGGAAGAAGCCGCACCGCTACTGATAGGATTCAGTTGCTCGTCGTGAGCCGCTGTGGGCCATCTATGTTAAGCGCGTCACCCTCGTTACAAACAACATACAGCTCGCCAGCCTCAAAAGGGTTCTTTTCAGGACCACCATAAATTATTGTTATTTAAGAGTAAATTTTCATTGAACGTTCGCTCGCCTTGCTGCTCGTTGATAATGTACCCAGCAACCAAACGTTTCATACCCACGGAAGAAATTTCGATCGCAAATATGTTTCATACCCAAGTAAGAAATTTTGGGCTTATGAGAGTTCTGTAGACCATGGTTTAGACTTGTAGCATGCTTTAAAACCACTACAAAACATGCAATGTTACTTCCCAAGCAACAATTTTAGTTTTAAGATGGTTTGTAGACCATGATTTAGGCTTGTAGTTGGGGGCGAACCCGGCGTAGAGGTTAAGATCATCCAGTAAACATTCATGAAATGTGAACTAATCAGATGTAACTAGCTACGAAGTTTGATAATGTCTAATTGCGTCCTGTTTTTATCTCCTTCCAGAATTCCACTAAGCGACAAAACTATGTAAACAAAGGAAGACAACCAACGGATAAATCCCCAAGTAATCAGCATCCTTACCCTGCTGCATATGCTCTGAATCACTACACACCAAAATGAATGGCTTATCCACATTGAACCGGTTGCTCGGCAAACGGAATAAAGATGGTAAGAAAATCACTCCTTCTGCTCCTGTGTCGTTGGAAATCGCTACTAATTCAATTTTTCACCCACACCCACAGTATCCAAATCCACTTCGAACCTCAGCCGGTCGACAACCAACCTGGACAGCTCTAGTCAGTACAACAAGATTGTCCCGCTGGCCGCCATGACCAATGCCCCGTTCGAACAGACCTTCCGTATCACGGTCCTGCTTCCGCGGGAGCAACTATACGTGACCCGAATCGGCGCCAAGACGCGCCTGTCCGTCCTTATGGACATGGTGTGCAGCGATAAGCAGCTGGATGTGCAAAAGTACCTCTTCCGGCATCCGGCAGACTTTCATCAAGGTTTCGATCTGGATCTGACCATCGGCGAAGTAGGCCTCAATGAAATCCGGTTGATATCGAAGAAAGAACTGGAAAACCTGCAGAACAATGAGTACCGGTTGAGCACTAGCGACATCTTCCGGTTACATCAGAAGAACATCCGAGAAAATTCGGTTTCTTCGTCGGATCTGAGTCGAACGTCTCGGATTGCGCTCAAGACTACTAGTCCGTACAGTTCAACGAATTCTCTCAATTCGATGGACTCTTCCGGGTTGAGTTCCAGCTCCCGGGGTGGTTTGAATGGTAATAACCACCACCCACCGGTGGCTCCAACACGAAAAAAACGAATGGCTCCGCGGCCACCCAGTCAGAACTCCATCCCGGAAAAAGCTCCACTGGAAATCAACAAAGATGATCACATCTTCAAAGAACCTCAGCTTCCGCCTTACTCGCGGAAGAACTTTCACGTGTCTTCTCCTAATCTCTACAACGGGGACCTAAAGCCGGCGGATACTGCAATCAACAACAACAACAACAATGATTACAACGGCCCGTCCGAAACGAACGGTAATGGCCATCATGTAGAAACGGTCGAAGAAATGAACAATCTGATCAACACCAAAACGTCGTACAGCACGCTGAAGAATCGTCCCACGTCAATGTACATCATTCGGGAACCGGCCGACGTGGAGGACCATAATGACGACCAACACCACCACCAGAACAATGATGATAACCTACAGCGTGCGTCGCTTCATGACACCGGTAGCAGTATGCAAGAGATCGTAAACCACTCCCGCACCTCGTCCAATTCATCCGAGGTCAAAGATCCTCGTGATTTTCAGGAAGGTCCGCAAATCATCCCCACCCCTCGGAAGCGGCTCAATTCGAACGGTTCGAATTGAATGTGGCTCTGTCCGGGCGAGATCGGTCAGGAGTTTTGCTAACTTTTTCCCTTATCTCTTTTCCACAGCTAAGAAATCGAAAGCTCCGGCACCGGCTCCGCCTCCACGGGGTGTATCGCTGGGATCGAAACGGGACGTTTCGGAACCGACGATTGTGCCGACACCATCGCCGAGGGCACCGGTTCGTGCCGCAGCTGGCGACGGCGTCCCAGTCCGGGATGGGGAGACGATCATTTCCGAATCGGATTCCAACTTTAGTGAGACGGATTCCGAGATGCAGAAGAATAGAGGTCCTTCATCGCACCTTCACTTTCAAAGAATCATTAACCTTATCACGAATTTCCCCTCTTACAGAAACTGTCAACCAAATGAACGCAGTCAACAGCACCCACCAGCCGGCGGCAGGCACCACCACCAGCACCAGCCCCCCGGCCGTTACTCCACCGCTCCAATCACAACAGAACGTATCGAAAGTTATGCTCAATGTGGATCAACCATCTTCGCTGAGCTCAACCGAGCCGCCGCAGTCGCTTTCCCCGGAAGCCGAACGCAAACCCTCGAGCGGAGCCTCCTCCGTATCGATCAAAATCGTCAATGACAGTTCTTCCCTCCCGAATGGCCATTCGAAACCTTCCACCCCGATCATTTCCAAAGTGCACATCGTCCCGGGCACGCAAAGTGAGGAAACCACGGATCGACGTCATTCCAACGGAGACAACAGCTCCGACGAGGACATTAAGATCTACAACATCGAGTCCGGAAAGGAGATGCGAATTCCGGACAAGAAGGAGATTCGATCGCCCAGTCCGGAAGAGGAGGAACAGTGGACCTATACGCTTCCGGCGCCACCCAAGTTTGCCGATTCATCGATCAAATCGGGAGAATACGACGAGAAGCAGAGGTACTTTGAGCTGCAGTCGACGTTCGTCGACAATACGACGATCGTGACGGATCGGATGACGATCCGTTCGGATGAGACGGAGCAGATCCGACCGATTATCAGGGAAAAGGTTCTGATGGATGAAAGTCTAGAGGAGAAGTGTTCGTCGCCGACGGAGACGTTGGTGGAGAGTGAAGGCGGCAACAGTAGTGTGACTACGGGAGAGATTATGATCAATTCGGATATTGAGGATGGATATCGCGGCGGCAGTGAGCTGCGGCAATCGATGATCCAGACGCTGGAGAAACGGAGGGAGAAACTGAAGGAAAGTGAGCTGCAGGATCTGAAGGAATCGATCGAAGGGGTGGTTGTCGAACGGAGGAAGGAACAGGTGGAGGAGCTGGAGGTGGTGAACGAGAGTGATATTATGAAATGTGCCAAATTGAATGAGGAAACGGTGGTTGATGATTACACGATGGTTGTCAAGAGGAGCAGCGTGGTTAGTGTCACGCGGTCCCAGTCGGTGATTGAGGGTAGGAGACTGTCGGTGGAGAGATTGCCGACCGAGAGCAGAAAGAACGAGGTGATCAGCGAGCTTAGTCAGGTTATAAAGGAGGAGCACGGTTTGAGAGGTGTGCTGAATGGGAAGAGGCTGCAGGAGGAAGAGGAGGAGATTCCCGGAGCGAATAAGAACAGTTTGAGCAACTTTAAGATATCCAGCTACAGCGGCGGCACCGGGGAGAACAAGGAGAATTGGCACGACAAGCAAGGAGAAATGGTTAACGGACAGGACGAGAAGGTAGGTGTTATGTTGCTGACGATGGTAACTTCCTATTTCGATGGTTTACACTAGTGGCTATAATCGACGACAACGAGACTGGAAACTTTACCAAAATTCAAGTTGGCATCCCTAGAAAATTTTACAATTCATACAAACTTTCCATCATTTCGATGTTTTCTGCTCAGTAAGCAAAAATGGTCACCTTATTGGTCACTGAGCTCCTTACTTTAAAAAACATTAACATCAGTAAACCTCCGTTGTTGATGTGGTCGTTCAAGTCTTTTGTAATTACAGAGGAGCTTGGGAATGAACCCATGATGTTCTGTCCAGTAAATGAATGTGATCATTCAACTCTTTTCCAATTACAATGTATCTAGAAGGCCTCTGCGCTTATCCTATCAGTTTCCTGGTTTAGTATTTGAAGGACTGTGGCTGTCCATACGTGGTCAGTTTAAGGTGCAGAGGGGAATGTGTCCACGATCCATACCTTTTATTTTAATAATTTGTATACATGATTGTAGGCCATCTAAACAGGCCTCAATTCCTGAAGGCCTGCTCATGATGGCATTGGCGTATAACCGCAGGTCAGTCCCATCTGTAAAAAACTCAAAAAGGAGACAACGGCATTCAAAGATATTACAAGTTTTCTCATTTTACACTTACTTTGGAGGGTTAATTTGGAAAATAAACGTGCAATGTGATACAATGCATCTATGTTTAGTAAAAAACGTTGGATAAAACATCGTGAAATTTTTATTTTATGACCAAAATCTAAGTGGGAATGAGATAACCGCAAGTCAGTCACAATGCCAATGGAGATACCATGGTCCCATAGAATGACATTGAATGTTTTTTGGAATCGTTCCGCTGGTTCCGGAAATATGGCCGGAACATATTCCGGCGAGTAAGGGTCCAAACCCACCATGCGATAAATCAATTCACATTAGAATTCGGAAGTAAGATCAATAAGAGTCATAATGAATAATCAGCACCATGTTGGCCTCACCCGGACATGTTCCGGGAACTCCCGGGGACGCGGTAAAACCCTTTAAAATCAAAATCCATCATGCGACACATCAAATCGCATGAGAATTCAGAGCCATAACCATTGGATGTCATATTGAGGATCGTAAGAACTATATTGGCCACATCCGGACATGTTTCGGATATCCTAGGAGAAGTGGACAGAATCTGTCTTGAGTCAAATCTCATTATGCGATATGTTGGCTATCATTCTTAATTCAATAGAAGCAAGCCTAAAAACATAGCTGTGACGTTGTTTTATAGATTACTAGCTGAGTGTGCCCAGCCTTGCTTGGGATTCAATATTAGTCAAACAACCTAACCCCGTCTCTTCCCCAATTTCAGCCCGAATCGGCCCCTGCATCGCCGCAAAAGTCCGACAGCGAGGAGGAAAGCAACGTCATTGTGCGGCGCAAAATCTCCGCCGATTCGATCCTGCGCGGCAGCAAGTTGAGCAGCGATGAGGACGAATCGTGCTCGGCCCGGTTCGGCAACAAAAACCACCAAGGTCCGGTCAAGCGACGCAGCCTTACTGTGCTGAACAAATCGCCGAAGAACATCAACCGCTCGGATAGCTTCCACTCGACCCGTTCCGATTACATCCAGTCGCTACAGTCCGGCGCCAACGGGCTGAGGATGACTCCACGCAGTACGTCCTACATTTCGCTGATCGGGGCGCAGAAGTTTGAGAACCGGTTTGCCCAGAGCAACCGGAGGAAATCGACCAGCGAGATGAGCATCTGCGATTCGCCGTCACTGCAGAGCTTGGAAGTTATAAAGAACATTTTGAACAGTTCCCGGAATAATTTGTCGACGGAGAAGAAGGAGCTGCAGGAGGAGCTGCCGATGGCGGCGATCAAGCGTAATAGTTTCACCGACATTTCTACGTTGGTTCAGTACAAGACCGAAGTAGTCAGGAGCAACAATCTGGTCAGACGGGAGAGTATGGTTGAGAAGAAGATTGAGGAGGTTGAGAGCAAGAATTCGTTCGAAGAAGAGAAGGAGCAGAAACCGGCGATGGAGAAGATCGAGACGGTGATCGCCAGCAAGATGGAAGATTCGGTAAGTATGAAGATTACCGATAGTGCGAAGGTCATGAACGATAGATTGGTTGATGTATCAAATGAGTCAAAGAGCGATGATGAGAAGCTGCAGAATAGACAACTGTCCGCAGCGGTTGCTAAGCAACCGCAAACTACAGTGGTGAACATTACCACCACAAGCACGACAGTCGCCAATAGTGGTGTGAGCGTTACTGTAAACGCTGAACAGAGCGACACTGCTGCTGGCAAACGCTGGACGTATCAAGGTCCTCCAACGATCAACTTCACAACCTGGAGTGAACGTCCGAAGATTGACGTTTCGATCAAATCCGACCGCGATTACCGATTCGGCGGAAGCTCCACCCTCCCTCGAGGCTATAGGAATGTAAATAATACCACCAAAATCAGCCTTAATTCCACACCAGCGCCATCTGTGGAGACAGAGAACGGTATCGATCAACCCGATTCCCGTGAACACGTGCCATTGAACAACGGTGAACCGCAATCGCTTCCGGAGGTCGATACGAACCCACAGGAGCCGGTTTCGATCTCCAGTTCCGATCGTCTACCAATCGTTCGAGCTGTCGAGTACAAGAAGAATGTTGTTCCACCTCCGGTAGCTCAGAAACCCCTGGAGAAGCCGTACTTCTACGACACCTACTCACGGAATCCGGCCACCATAAATCGACTTAGCTTTGGCTACAACAAATTCCAACCCGTTGTCCGAGGTTTCAAGCCCATGAATGTGACAGATTCCCCCTCGAAGCCACGCCCCGTTTCGATGATCGAGTCCTCCAATATCTCGACCGCCATTTTGAAAACCACTCCCACCAGAGTAGAGAAACCGGTCGCCGAAGCCCCGTCGCTCCCATTTGGTCAGAACACCCTTCGTCGAACGGGGCTTAAGGACAAAATTCTTGCTCAATCCATCCCGGAACTGTCAAAACCGATCGCTGCGGAACCAACGGTTGCGGCTATCAAAGTGGCTAGCGTGACGGCACCTACACCACCGCCACCTCCGGTGGCCCCGAAACTTACCACTCCGGTCGTGCGGGGTGCCATCGTCAAGAAACCGCTTACGGCACCCGAAGTGGACCCCCGCACTGCCCTGCTGGACGCCATCCGGAACTTCAGCAAGGATAAACTGCGCGTCGAGCAGTAATCGCGGAGTGAGCTTACCTTGCACTAATTTCCTTTCTTCGCTACGCTGGCGCCTACGTTGTCGTCGGCGTCGCTTGCTTTGTAGTTAGTCGTTATTAATTTATTACTTTGTTATATTCTTTTTTAACTCTATCCCTTCTTTTTACCCCTTTCTTTATGTATCAAAACTGTTGTTTTACTGATGCTTTATCATCCTTTAATAAAATTACCCCATTTTAATTTGTTTTATCCAAACAAAAATCGTTTAACCACAAATGCACACGCAACACTGCGAGTTAGAGCTAAAATACAAGCAAACGAGTTAATTAATACGGGACCAAAGGTTACATGGTGTTTTGATTTAAGCAACAACAACAAAAAAAAAATAAGCAATTTTAGCAAAAGGATTCACGTAAACAACAAGCACAATATGGAAAGGAAGCAACATGGTAAGATTTTAGTTTTCGTTTTAATTTTCCTTCGGTAGGAACTACCGTTGAGGGTAGACTTAACCCGCCATCTGTCTAACAGATGTTTAACGTTAAAAACTATAAACTGAAATAACGTGCACGTTCCAATGATTACACAGAAACGCAGATGAAAAGAAAAACAAACACACATACACACACACAACCACATATTCACACTCGGGTATTAATCATTAATTCTGTTAACATTTTCTATTGATTGTTTACTGGTAAGCTTAGATTTCCCTTTCGTACTACATATCCGAATAAGCGGGTTTACATTAGATATGAGGGTCATCACAATCAAGACAGCAAGAAAGAAAGTAAAAGCGGATCATTCCATTTGAGCAATCCTATGTGAAATGAAAAGTAATCATCAGTCATTAACAGTTAGGTTGTATAATTCTGATATAATATATTACATACTGATAGTGTTTAACTATAATGTTCTACTCGATAGTAACATGAAGAAGCAGGCAGCCTTAATCCGGATGTTGAAGCAAATGTGTAAATTTTTTAACGATAGAAATATTTGGAATAAATTGATATTATACTAATATTCGGTGGTGTGTTGGCCAATCATCATTCGGAAGTATGTAGAGAAATGTCCGGTTATCAGCATTCGCAAACTGTTTGATCTCTGTAGCGTAAACGGTAGCTAAATTACTTCTCTAACGTAGCCGGCTATAGACTTCCTGTTCTCAGTGAAGGTGTGTGTGTGTCGATCAGCTACCGAACAATTTGTTTCAGTGTGATGTTCCGTATCATTTGAAGAGTTCTGCGACCTCTCATCAATCAACAAAGGTCAAACACAAGTGATGGTACTGAATTTTTGTTTGATAATAACTAACCACAGCGGACAGGTTATGCAGCGGAGAACTACTGACGGAAGAACCAAGGAATCGACCGGAAAGACTTTTTCGGTAACCGCGTAATAAATGGTTAAAAGCGAACGATACGTTTACTAACCTTATTCACGGACGTTTTACAATGGAATGAAAATATATTGCTTTACTCTCTTGCTCTCGCCTCTCTTGCTGCCGCCCATAGATATGGGGACAGATGTAGTACTTTCTACACTCCTCCTCGACATCTTCAGCGGCTGCTGCTTCCGGTCAAACCAATTGTTGGGCGGTAAAAACGAATCTTTTGAATCCGTGAATTTTATTCCGGCAGATTGATCGAAATGGAAAAAAAAAATACAAATTCCTGAGAACATTGGACAATGTTATGTTTCGTGCACAAATATAAATATTGCATTACACTTACTTTTGGTGATTCGTTCCGCAGTAATTAGTTTGCATAGAGCAAGATATTATGGTTATAAGTTAAGGTTTTCTTCAGCTGTAGGTAGCTATTAGATGTATATATAGATATGTTTAGTTATAAGTTCACTAATTTTCCAGCTAGTTCTCACCTTAGATAAGTTCAAAGTATTATAAGTTAATCAAGATACTGTAGTCTAGTTCAATCGACACGTTAGATAGTGATAGTATTTAAGTTTAACAGTATAAATTAGGTAGATTAAGGTAACACCACTTGCGAGTAGAATTAATTTTACTTTTTACTTCCTCGATTCAGCTATTGTTCTGGCTTGTTTACATATTTTACCCGTCGACCGCTTGACTTTCATACGATCGACGATCCTCTGACCAACGCACGGGTGTGGTCGCGTTGAGGTGTATGCGTCCGTCACAGTGGTAGCGGTGGGGCTGCTGGGGCTCGTCGGGCCATTGGACGTGGCGGGATTAACACTCCCTCCCGGAATGCGCCGGATGGTCGTCCTGAGGCGTATCCTTGCAGACGCCTACATCTAGCACGGCGAGCTTCACGGCTGGACGCTCATAGATACCACTAATGGTCCGGACGGTTGCGCACCTCACTTGGCCGTCGGCTCCTGGCTTCGTTGCTATTACGCGTCCCTTTAACCAGCAGTTTCGCTGAAAGTTCGGGTCCACGATGACGACGATGTCGCAAGCTCGTCGACGTATTCGCAACTCTGGGCGAGGCGATAGAGAAAGTTCTCGGCCCTGTATAATTCCTGTTGCGTCAACGGTCCACCGGTTCGCTGTTTCGTCTTGACCATCTGCTTTGAGTTGCATATGTACCGGAACACGTACGCTGTACTCCGTAGTATCGTTGTCCACTTGGAGAAGTTTTGTGCTTCAACAATTGATTCGGCCGTGGAGACGTGCGTTAATAAGTGCGCACGCAGTTCCACATCCGTCATTCCACATCGCAGGCCAGACGGCCATTCTGCTTTAGACTGCCTCAGGAATTCCGGTCCTTGAAACCAGCGGCTGGAGGCGGTGAGATCAGGATGGCGGGTCCATTTGGTTCCTTCGTCGGCCACGTTCAGCTTCGTGGGAACCCATCGCCACTCCTTCACATCATTCGTTTCCAGTAGGTCCCCGCATACCGCGACTCGAAACTCCCGGAACTGAATCAAGACTAACAGTAGAGACATCAATTGATCGGGTCCTTTCAGTAAAACCGAGTTCAAGGAGATTCCTTGGACGGTAGCTGCTGCATCCCAAACCAACCTCAATTTTCCTGGTTTGTTGGGATTATAGACCGGAAACACTGGCAGATACCACTCACGCGGTTGACGATGCCTCAGTTCATCTCCGCTCAGTTTCCGGACATACCCTTTCTGGACGTACTCGGCCATTTTTGCACGTAGTGCCTCCGCCAATCCTTCGTCCTTCTTCATCCGCCGCTCTAAACACTCCCATCTCCTGAGAGCCATAGCTTTACTATCGGGAAGCCGCACTGCGTCATACTTCCAAAGAAGGCCTGATTCATAGCGGCCGTCCTTGGGTAGTGTCACCACTTCCAGAATGTCCATAGCACGCTGGTCGTCTACGGAGAGCGGTAACTTGTCAGGCTTAGAGATGCCCATGCTATCGAGAGTGAAGTAGTTTTTCATTGCTGCATGGAGACTTTCGTCAGAACCTTCGTTGCACTCGCACGCTTGTACAGCGTGGTAGTTTACATGATTTCCGAGATGATTGGACGAACAGCTCCCGTACACGATCCATCCTAGACGGGTTTTGACGGAAATCGGTTCGGATGGTTTTCCTTCGCGACTCTTGAACGCATGCCCAAGTTGCGCGTTATCCAGTCCAATCAGGATTCGCGGACTTACTTCAGTGTAGGAATCGAAGGGGATCCCAGTGAGATGACTATACTGACTCTGTATTTCCGAAGCTATCAGGGTTTGTGGCCGGAGTTTCAGCTCATGTATAGTCCGAACATCCACCAGTTTGTACTTTTGGGATGTATTTCTCACAGAAGAGATGACCACCTCTACCTTTTGAGATTCGTTCTCCATTCTTCTGCTACCACCTGTCCATTTCAAACAGAGTGCTTTGTTTGGTCCTTGTAACCCAAGCTCCTGTGCAAGAGAATGCTCCATGAGGGTTAGCTCGGACCCATCATCGATGAAAGCGTACGTCTGCATCATCTTCGATGGACCGTGGAGCACAACTGGAACAATCCGGAATAGCACGTCGTTTGAGTGCGCTTGATGAACGTTACAACTGGTGTTCGTAGCAGCTTCCACCCGGGAGCCGTTTCTGGAGGCTTCGGTTCTCTCGGAGTGAAGCAAAGGGTGGTGCAGGTAGGTACATTCTCTAACGCCACATTTGCTTTGCTGTCTGCAGGTGCCGTTGTGTTTGCGAAGACTCGTAGCTCAGCTCGACGAACCTTTTGCACTTAGCAAGTGACGGACAAGAACCTTTGCATACAAGGCATTCCTTTGGAGAATCTCTCGATTGGGTACGCGTATCTTTAGCTGGAGCTGCAGAGAATCCGGATCGATCGTTGCTAGTTTCGGTGTGAACGTTGATGAATCCATCTTTCTTGTTGACTCGACTTCGTGGAGCGTTGATGGACGTCTGCATGACTGTGCTTGCATCCTCCGCCATGGAGTATAACCAGGTACTGAAGTCCACGAGATTTGTGGCTGGATTGCCTCTAGTGTATTTCGCCCAGTCCAGCTTCAGCATCGACGGTAATCGATCTACCAACTCGAGCTTGAGTGAGGCGTTGTACACGAAGTCCTGTACCCCACAGGCTTCTATCGTTGCTACTAAATTTTCGACAGTGAGCGCAAAGTTGACCAGACTCTCTAGACGATCGATCTCCGGGGGTGGTACTGAACGAATTTTCCTTATCGCTGCTTGAACGATCGCTTCTGGCCTGCCGTAGAGCATCTTCAGTGTTGTAAGGACACCATACACGTTGGAAGGATGTAGCAACCGACATCTTACAGCATCCAGTGCCTTTCCTTTTAGGCACTTACGTAGACGAAGCATGTTCTCTTCATTGGAAAAGCCACACATCTGTGTTGATGAGGTGTACATCGAGAAGAAAAGTGGCCAGTCCTCGGGGTTTCCATAGAATTCAGGCAAGTCCTTAGATACTGCTTGTCTGGCGGCCATCTGGCTTCGGTTGAGGATACATATGGTCTCCTCGACAGGAATTGGTTCAGGTTCCATTGCCGTGAGCGTTGGACCGGTCACTGATGGTCGAGGGGGAAACTGCGGTCTTAACATGGATGCCGGGAACGTAGAGTAACGCTGAGAGGTAGGATCCGTTGGACGAAGCCGCGTCTGTGGCGTAGAACGTTGTTCGGGAGCGAAATCTGGTATGGTGTTACGCCGCCCTCCTTGCGAACGATGTTGCTGTCCTACTTGTCGTTGGTCGACCACCACTGACTGATCGGCGAGTCCAGGTGGAAACCTCGGTTCTTCCGAAAGATTCTCTTCTTCGACTCCAGAGTCTTGAACTACTCCGCCGCGTTCCGTATCTTTGATCCATTGCGAAACTTTAGACATTTTCTCGAGATCCTCGTTGTCCAAATCCGTCTCACTGTCATCTTCCACCTCTTCCAAAATTCTGTACTTTTCTTCCAGGAACTTTTGTTCCAGCTTCCTCTGCTCCTCGAGTTTCTGCAGCTTCAAGTCAATTTTCCGCTGTTCACTCCGTTTGCTGCTTTTCTTTCCGCTTGATTTCGCATCGCCAGAGTCCTTTGGGGTTGGATTAGCAGCCTGCACTACTGCTTGGACGTCTTCCGCTGGGGTTGATTGTTGGACTTCGCTCTGCCCTACTGGACACACTGGGCAGTTCCAACTAACTTCTGCTATTCCTTCAGTAACTTCCACGCAGCAGAAGTGGAACCATCTCTCGCAACCATCACACTGCACCATTCTACTAATATCACTTTCTGCACACAACTCACAGCTATTGAACCGATATGCCCGCGCATGACGTACCGGATTGCGTCTGACAACGTCCTTTCCGTGTAGATTGGAAAGGACAGATTTAACTTTAGGGTTGACAGTCGAAGCCGATTGCTTCGGAACTGCTCCTTTCTTCATGGCATACACTTTATTTGCAACAACGTCATCATTTACCTCCCTGGGCTTTGGCAAAACCTTGAGGTAGTTTAATTAGGCTACCAGGTCCCAGGGCTGATCTGGATCTTTACCACATTGGAAAGATGCACACTAGTGTTGCCAGATCAGTGTTGATGCTTACCAAAAGTGCATTTGA